GCCTGCTTCTCCCTCTCCCACTCCCCTGCTTGTGTTCCCTCTCTCGCTGTGTCTCTCTCTGTCAAATAAATAAAATCTTAAAAAAAAAAAAAAAATTGTTTAAAAAAATAAATATTTGTTAAATAAAGTAATAGTACACAATAGGCCTTCAACAATCACTAGTTCTCTCCCATTTTCTGTTAGTATCATCTATACTATTCCTATCTTTGCTGATAGAATGTGAATTCATTTTCATTTAATAGGTGTTGGGGGTTTGGGGTGTGCCGCAGATGAAAGTGATAAAGCACTCTCAGACTCAGATTCCTCCTACATAAATAAAAAGTGTGAGATTCTGTCCAGACTCCTGTCTTAACTCTAAAAGCAGTCACTAGCCAACTCCCAAATCCGTAACTCTGGCTCTTTGGGGGAACATGTGTCACATTTCCAACTACCTGCTAGATGTTTCTACTTGAATTGCCATCACTTCTAATTCGACTTACCTTTAATGGACATTTATTTATACATATATATTTTGTTGGTTGGTTGGTTGGTTGGTTTTGTATTCCCACCATCTGAACCATCATTCTGTGTTCGGAGAATTCCCCACCTTAGGAGTCTAGTGGCTGAATCTGAAATGCCACATACTTGTTCTACCAATCATGTTCACCAGCTGGGAGCTGTCGACTCAAAAAAGCAAACACAAGCAAACACAGAAAGCCATGCTTCCTGGGTAACTGCAGGAGTATAGCAAGGTAGGCTCCTGGGGCAATAGTAAGAGTGGTTCTAGTGGTTTGCATCCAGCATCCAGAATTCGTAGTGTCTGTGACTCAGTATGCTTGCGCATGCCTACGGCAACCCTAGAGCCCTCTCCCATCAGTTCAGTGTGTGTTGTTACTGGTTGTACTCTCTGACCACGCAAGTCCAAGCTCCGTTTCCAGCTGTCCTCTGAGCTACCCACTAGCCTCCAATAAATTTTTCTGCTTAAATCAGCCACAGCTGTTTCCTGTTCCTTAGCATGAAGGTCCCTCATTAAAACAGTGCTTTTTCATCTTCCTCAAACATGATCCACAGCCTTGTGACCTTGAAACTATCTTTGATGCTTGCTATCTTGTCAGTATACTTTAAAATACTGCAATGAGATGTGTATGTGTTTGAGAGTTAACTTTCATCTGCACACTCCAGGGTGGATAATTAGCATTTGAAAGACTAATCAGGAATCTTCACTATAAAGTTGGGTGCACAAGTGTTTTCACTATCACTGTTAATCTGCACTAGAGGTATTTTAATTAACATAAAAGATGATAAATAATTTTTCATTGTGGAAATAACAGGTGTTCAAGATACATGGCTCGCTAGGATATTGTACAGGCACTTCTGTTCTTGCCTAAATGGAGTGTGTGGAAGAAGCTTCAGATTATGGCATACTGACAGCCTTCAGAATGGCTCCCTGAATCTAGAATGCTGTTCAGTGCTTTGGCACCAAATATTTTTTGTGTAGTGTTTTTTTGTGCCTGCTTGTTGATAAATATTTATCTGTGTAGTTGCATGAAGTCTGAGACTTGCTTTCACTGTAGGGCACTACCTAATAGTAAAGGGAGAGGGTAGCTCTCATCGATCTTTAGTTGTTGAAGACTGTCAGTATTTACTAAAAGAACTGGACAATTGTGAAGTCCAAGTGTTCATCTTCATTTACTCCATTTCTTGCATTTATCATTTCTTTTCAAATCCCATTGCTACTACCCAGGTTGAGGTCCTAACCCATGAATTACTTCAGTAACTTCTGTGGTTTGTCATTTTGATGTCAGCCTCACCCCCATCTAATCCATCACACTGATATTCTCAGAACACCATTCTGTGTCACTTATTAAATTAAAACCAATGACTTCTACAGGCTACAGAATAAAGTGCAAACCCCTTAGCCTGGTACATGAGGCCCTCCAGAGATGAACCAAACCCCCCTCTGCCCAGTAACATTAATCCTGAAATTAGAAGTATTAGGGTCAGTTCCTGACATCTGACACATCCTCAGCCAAACACCTGGATATAAAACAGCCACTTGGGAACCGCCTCAGTGACAGGAGATTTCAAGCTGCATTACCAATGGTAGTGTAATGATCCTAATAGCAGGAACATCCATTCTTCAACACTTGCTTCCAATGCAGGCAAGGTCTGTGTGCTCCAGACCAAATAGTTCACCCAGAGGAATTATTTCAGACTAGGAACACCTGTGGAAATACCATTTTTTTAAATCAAGGGAAGGAGGGAAGGCAGCACTTGTGGTAGGAGAAATGGAGGATCCTATCTATTTCAGTCCTCTGTAGCAGGGAGTCACAGAGGAGTCCTACATTATTTCTCCCATCTTCTCTCTTGTTTTTCCTCCTACTTCTTTCAATTCTTCAATCCTGTTCCAGAGCTGAATGGACTCAGGATCTCCATAGATGATCTGCTGGGTCTACTCCCTTGTTATTTCTGTGTAATACTTTGAGATTACAAAGTGCTTTCACCTATGTCCTATCATTCAATCTCTACAAAACCTGATGATGTAAATATTATCATCATCATTTTACAGGTAAAATAACCAAGGTCCAGAGAAACTGCACTGTACTGAGCAGTGGCTTAAACCTCAGTCTTTTGGCTTCAAGTCCTAGGTCCTCAAGTGCAGCTTTCTAAATATCATTCCCCTCTGTGGGGGAACACAGGTATTTCTGTCTCATTGCTGTAAACAGTAAGCAGGAAAGGGTTACCGTATCCTGTCCTGGCGTACTCCTTATAATCATCTTGAAGATTTTTAACCTACATCCATACCCAGCCCAGCACAGATCAATTAAATCAGTCTCCTCTGGAGTGAGTCCCAGGTAGATGGTGTGTTTTATTAAAGACTCTCCCTGAGCCCCTCCTAGCCTCCTCCCTCCCCCAGTGATTCTAATGTAAAGCAAGTGTTGACAACAACTGGGTTATTATCTCCATCAGTGCAGTGGTTCTACAGGTGTGGTCCCTAGACCAGAGGTATCAGCATCATCTGGGAACTAGTTAGAAATGCAAATTAGATTTCAAGAATCTGTGCAATGAAAATGCATTATTTTTAAAATGTTAAATATTAGCAAAAAATAAAAAAAAAATTAAAGACAAAGCTTTCTGCTGCCAAAAATGTAGTTAATTGACAGCGGGACCACAGAATGGGTTCTTTCTGGTAAGAAAATCAGCAGTATTTTCCCCCAGCCCCACCCCC